TCAGAGGCAGTTGGGGGAACTGCTGCTGATAGTGATACTGAGAGATGTGGTGCAATACTTGGTGTTGGTAGAGCTGATGTTACTGAAATTGTTGCATTTGGGCTTGCATTGCCCGCATGCATTGCATCAGGTCGTCCAACTGGTTCTGGCTAGTCGCCAGGGGGACAGCAGTTGGTTCAGTAAAGGTTGTTTCGACAGGGAGAGGAAAGGGGACGTTCATGGCAGGAAGGTATGCGGGCACCACTGTTTGTGGCGCATTTAAATTGGGGTTCCCATCCACCGGAAGGGGGATGGTGAACTGTCCGATGCACACCACGGGGACTTGAAGTTGTTTCTCAGTGGTGTTCATCTCCGTGCCATGTCTGGCATTGCTGGAAGAAGCCATGAGTGTTGGGGTTTTTGGAAAAAAGAGGTAATGGGAGTTTTAGAGGGAGGCTTTTAGAAGCGTTTCCCACAGATGGCGCCAATTGATGATGCACAATCCGGTCGGTCCTAGCTGTCAACGACCTTGCCTCTGACTGGAGCAATAGGGGGGTCTGAAACGGAGAAGAAAGTGGGGAATCTTCGGGGAGGAACCCGGTGAGATCACTCTGAAGCTCAAGTTAGTATTCTCTCAAAGGCAAGATAAAACCAGATGGCGCAAAGTTCACATACCTCGTCCTCGGGGAGTAGAGAGCCTTTTATAACCACTTCGTGCACTCACTCCTAGGCTTCTGTCAGGTCGGGTATGATTACTTCTATGCTTCTGCCAGTTCGGGTGTCATCACCTCTGCTGGGACAGAACTGCCACTGCTCTTTGTCGGAGCTGTCTCTGTAACTGGAGATGGCGGTGGCAGGTGGCGGTGGCAGGTAGCTGTTGGAGTGCGGTTGGCAAGCGCCAGATCCCAAGTCAGTCAGGTGCGCCGCCCCTGGATACGGTGTCCTGGAGGCGAAGTGCTGGAGTGGTGTGCGAGGTGAAGTCTTGAGTTCGGACGGAGGTGTGGCCCGAACTGCCATGGGGCAGGCCAGTTCGGGTTGTTGCCCTTTGCCACGTGTTGAGTGGTTATGAGGTCGGGCCAAATCTTCCTTCATCAGTTTTCAAGTTTGAATCCCTCGGCTTGCCTCTCAATCTACTCATATGAGTCATGTCAAGAGTCTCAAGACCCAAATAAAAGAAAAATAAACTTGTTCTATTTTTTCTCTTATTATTTACTTTATCCAGTTCCTAACAAACTTTAGATGGATGAATTAAAGATCAATCTGGTTGATAAAGAAAATTAGATGACATTTGAAGGGCATTTGTGTCTTTTCACTTGCCACTTAACGGTTGATTAACGGTAAGTACTAGATTGTTGCGTTTTGAAAGTTCGGATACTAAATTGGCACTCGGCGTAAAGTACAGGGAACCTATCGAAAATTTTCCCTTATAAAAAATAGGGTAAATTACAAAGACCCCCCTATACTATGGGGTTTGTGACAAAGACTCCCCTGTACTTTGTTTTGCAAAAAAGACCCTCCTATATTATGACCGTAAAACAAAGACCCCCTTCCATTAGCCTTTCACGTTAAAATCCGCCCTTATAATATTTTTTAATCCCCATATTATCACTATTCATTTTCCCAACCTCACGATACACGAACAACAACGACAGTAGCTATTGCAGCGGCAGCGGATTTCCATTTAAATCCTCTACCCACAACGTTCATCCCCACTGCACTTCTTTCCTGTTGTTGAAAACTAGTCAATTCAAATCCATTCCTCTTCTCCAGCTCCGAGAATATGCTACGTCCCTTCACATCCACCGTCGTATATGGCTGTAACTTCGTTCCATCATAGCTTCTGTATGTCTGATAATCTGCCAAACCCCCAATACCATCTAAATCCTTCGTTGGAAATACTGACACACAACCCATGTTCAGGTCATTCCTCTTGACAACTGGCACTGGTTGCTTCCATACCCTGCAGGATGGTGCTGAATAATCACCGAATGTTGCTGGATATTTTGCCAATAGCATAGCAAAATCTGATTGCGACGAAAAGCCAGTCTGAATTCTGCTCCCATCCCAGAAACCATGACTCCTCGCTGGAAAATCTTCCAATCCCGAATAATTGCTATGATCAAGCTTTATTGAAACTGCAGCTCCATCAACCGCACGATTGGAAGTAGACTTCAAGTTGAATGAACTGCTGCCTAGTTTGGACGATGCCCCATTTTCATTGTTCTCTGGAGAACTTGAATTTCGCTTTGAAGCAGGAGTTGGATGGTTCAGTATCTCCGAGAATATGCCATGTCCCACAACAGGGAAGCAGGAATGAACGTTGTGGGTGGATGTTCACCACAACAGGGAAAGCTCACAGACCCAGGGGTATTTGTAATTTACCCTAAAAAATATAATAGACAATTTGAATACTTTTACCCATAATATAAGTATATAACCCCGCATCTTTAAGGTTTTATTGGCCCGTGCTGAGCACGGCCCCCCTCCACTAGTCAACCCCTAAATTAAAATCCCCAATTATTATATTTGTAGGTTCGTTTCAATTTCTTCCCTCCCATTTTCATGAGTCATGACCCACTCCCTCGCTCTCTGTTCCTACTGTGCATTAAAATCCGGCAAAACTAGCGGAGGGAATACCAACCCAACCCACAACAACGAGTATTCAGAAGAGGAATCAGCGAGGATTTCTGATCTGTTTCGTAGCTCTTCTCCTCCATTTTTAGCTTCAATGGAATTCAATCGAACTTTGCATTTGATTTTGGACAAAATATCCGATTTCTCATTCATTGTAGATCAAGAAATGAATATGCATTTGATTATCTCTCTTCGCATTTATGATTATAAATCACAGGCATTGCGGGTCTCATTTCAGTTTGGTCTTCATCGAACCAGATTCTGATGATTCAGCAGAGATCGAGTGCTGTTTGAGCTCAAGCTAGAAGAGCCTTCATTTCAACTTTCTATCGATCTATAATGCAACAGAGCAAGATTAGGTCGCGTATCTCGTGAAATAAATATGTATTTGATTACTTCTCTCCGCATTTATGATTATAAATCACAGGCATTGCGATTTGCGAGCCTCATTTCAGTTTGGTCTTCGTCGAATCAGATTCTGATTCAGCAGAGATCGAGCTCTGTTTAAGCTTAAGCTAGAAGAGCCTTCATTTCAACCTTCTATCATTAATCTGCAATGCAACAGAGCAAGATTAGGTCGCGTTTCGGCAGAATTCAGTTCATTCCTTTTTAAAGGATCGAGTAGGGATTTTGTTTATTAGCTTTTATTCGGCGATGGATAGGGCGAGATCAAAGAGTCCAGTGTATGATAGGCAGAGGAGCGTCGCAAACGCGTCGGGGGGGCCGGCATCTCCCATGCTGTCCCCCTTGCATCACCATGCTCGATTGGGAGCGGCCAGCCTGTCGACCTCCAGGAGGACGCAGAACTATGCAGCCAAAGCCGCTGCTCAGAGGCTTGCGCAGGTCATGGCACATCAATCAAAAGACAAGGAGGAGGAGGACGACCTCTCTCTTGAATATAATTCTTTGGGTGCCACAGGGGGCATTGGTCTTGCACCCGGACGGCCAATGAGATCTCGTTCTACCGCGGTAATTGGCTTAGCAATGATATCACTCACTGTTTCTTTCTTCTTATTAGACTATTTCATTGGACTGCTGTGTTATTCAGGAAGCATGGCTATGGCCGCCTGAAACAGTACAATAACAGAACATAAAATTGAAGCTTAAACAACTAGAATTACATGCTAGACGCATTAACACACTATGGGAGACCAGGCATTGTTGCTTGAGAATTGATGTTGACAACATAAATCGACTCACTTCTGAAGGATTTGTAACTGTGAATATGGAAGTGTTGAAATGCATTTACAATTGAAACCTCATTTTCTTACAGTGAGAAATGAGAATGGTGGGCATTACTTATATGGTAGCGGTGGCCACATTTCTTACTGTTGGTTGTAGCTTGCGACCCAGGAAACGGAATTAAGAAATCATTAGCTGTTTATTGATATTTCTGTTTTGTGGTATTTCAAGATTATAAATTGTTGAAACTGCAGTTGTTCTGTTGTTTGAAGTGGCTAAGAATTTTTTTTTTTACCAAAAAAAAGTGGCTAAGAAATAAGTCTTACTGGAAACTTTTGTGTTTTTTTTTTCTATTAGTTAGGTCGTAACGCTCCCGAACAGCCTCCATTTGATCGTTATACATCAGCTGGTCGATCATCTCTGGCACTCAACTCTGTAGAACAACCTTCATTTGCACGTTCTTCGTCATCAGCTGCTCGGCCATCTTTACCGTTCACTCCCGCAGAACAGCCTCGTTCTACATCAGTTGGTCGATCATCTCTGGCACTCAACCATGTAGAACAACCTTCATTTGCACGTTCTTCGTCAGCTGCTCGGCCATCTTTATCCTTCACTCCCGCAGAACAGCCTCCATCTGATCGTTCTACGTCAGCTTGTCGTTCATCTTTAGTACTCAACTCTGTAGAACAACCTTCATCTGCACTTTCTACGTCAGCTGGCCGGTCGTCTTTACCATTCAATTCTGTAGAACAGTCTCCATCTCCACATTCTACCTCATCTGTCCGGTCACCTTTACCTTTAAGTTCTGTAGAACAGCCTCTATCTGCTCGTTCTTCTCCAACTGGACGACCATCTCTAGCAATCAAGACGGTTGGCAAGATACCTTCTAGTGTTCCAATATCATTAAAGCCACTTTCTTCCATGCCTCCATCAGAGACTCCTAACCGAAGGGATAAAAGGTATCACTTAGTTTCAAGCTTGAACTTCATTCTGATGAATTCTGTATGATTTGTTTTTTGGGCTAGAATCAGCAAGTTTATTTTCAACCACCATTTGGATGTTATATTATATTTGTTCTTTTTTTGGTTCTCAAGCATATCTGCAAATTTCATTCCGTAATAGTGCGAGCAGAATATTTTAACAAACCAAATCACGTGAAACACCTTTAATAGTCTAATGCTGCATTTGACATCAAATAAGGATTTATCTCCTTTTTGCAGTTAAAAACTCAGTATTCATAATAGTATTTTAACTGCAAAAAGAGATAAGTCGTTAAAATAAGGAATGCTAAATGCAGCCCAAATCATATTCTTATCGCAACCATTTGGGATCAGTTACAAAAATCCTGCTCAGTTCCACTCTAATCTAGGGCGATAAATTTGCACCGCAGCTTACAATTGCACCATGGTAAGTAGAGGCTTGGTCCATCTGATCACTGGTAACCCATATATGATTAGTATACGGAAAATATTATAAAGTATATGTTAGGTTGCCATTATGAATAGAGTGCATAAATGGTTGCCATAAAGCCAGCAACTCATTGTGTGAGACTTCTTATAAGTACACACTAGGATACTGAGCTAGATATTTTAATTCACAATCAGGTAGAGGTTATCAAATTTCCAACTTGGGTTTTTGAACCTCTTAAAAGGCATTTTTTATCTGATCTTATTTTTGTAATATGCAGATTGTCAGTAGATACAGGGAACATGAGCATACGAGAAACTGGAATTCATCGTTCCACTTCAGCTCTTCAAGATGAGGTATTTATATAAAGACGTAAACTTTATGCTTAGGGGCACAATGTTCTGAAAATTGTAATTGTATCGTAAGTTGTAGAGAAAACTGAATAGAATTGAATAAAGAATCGTATGTAAATGGTAAAATTATTTATATTTTTTTTCTCAAAATGATTATTTATGTTTTTTACAAATTTATTAAGAAATTAAATATAATATACTAAAAAGCTAAATATATTTAGGAATATGATTTTACCATATTTTTGATCTATATCTACCATATATGTGCCTAAAAGAATAGAATTTAACACTTGTACAATAAAAGCCTAAGATGATAAAATCAAGCTTGACTTGAAAGTAAAATAATTTACATACAATGGCTCTTTACCTAGATATGGTGTAAAATAAACTCAATGTTTTGTCTTAAATAGGGGTGGCCACTAGACCTGTTCATGGGCCGGGTAGCCCGATGGCCCGGCCCGGCCTGACCCGCACTCGGTCGGGCTTGGTCATGTTATTAGGTCCGCGGGCCTGACCTCGGGCCTAACACAGTAAGCCCGACTGTGTTTCGGGCCAGGCTTGGGATTTGTCAAAAAAGCCTGGCCCGACTTAGCACTATATATTTTATAAAATATATAATATGTATTTTATATATTATATAAAGTATATAAATAATATAATATTTATTAAAATATATATTTATAATTTAATATATATATATATATATTTTTTATTATTTTCTTTATAATTTCTCTCTCTCTCTATTCAGCCGCTTCAGTAGTAGTAATAGTAACAATATGGGCTAAATTTTGGGCTCGGGCCCAGGCCCGGGCTTCGGGCTTTTTATGAGGGCTGGGCTTGGGCCCAAGTTGTAGGCCCGATGGTCGGGCCGGGCTCGGACTCGAGCCTTAGAAAAATTTGTTAATACAGAGTAAAAGCTCGACCTGAGCTCGGCCCGGCCCGGCCCATGAACAGGTCTAGTGGCCACGAGCCAAGATTTTCACGAGCTATTTGAGCTCGGATTGTGAAAAGCTTTATTTGGCTCGGTCTAAACTGAGCTTTGAGCCAAGCTCGAGCCTAATATATAGGCTTGTTTGCTAATTGAGCCGAGCTCGAGTCCAATAAAGCTCGGGAGACCAATTGAGATTTTACATATATATATATATATATATAGATTGTTTTCTAAGTGAATTCTAGACTTGTTTCAGCTTCCAAACCTGTTTTTTGAAGAACCCCTTTGGTGAGAACTAGTTTGTCTTGATAAACCTATTACAGAAATGGCAGGAGCTGAGTTTAAGACTCAAGGGGAAGGGGTTTTGGGGGCTGAAAACGTAAGAGAAAACAATTTTTAGATCACTACTGTTAAATTTGATGGTCCTAACTACTTGGAATGGGCTCAGTCAGCCATGGTGGCGATTGGGGGCAGAGGGAGGTTAGGTTATGTGAATGGAGATGTAAAAACACCAGCCAAGGTAGACACTTCATATGCCAAATGGGTTCAAGAGAACTATTTGGTCATGACTTGGCTGTGTAACTCTATGCAACCTCATATTAGCCGCAATTATTTGTGGGTAAAAATAGCTAAGAAAATTTGGGAAGTGATGAAGGAAACCTACTATCAGTCTCTCAATGTTGCTAGGGCCTATGAACTGAAATGTGAAGTAAATAATCTCAAACAAGGGGAGAAGCCGGTTCAGTTTACTTTCCCACTTTGAAATCCTTATGGCATGAAATTGATCATCTATAAACTATTGAGTGGGAAAGTCAGGAGGGTGCACAAACCTATAAAAAACAAGTTGAGACCAATAGGGTTTTTGAATTCCTAGCTGGTCTTAATTCAGAGTATGATATTGTGAAACAACAATTACTCGCAAGGGAGAGTGTGACCATATATGAGGCCTATTCTTTAGTGCATGGTGAGGAAAGTCGGAGGAATGTTATGTTGTAGTTTTAGCCTATGGAATCAGCCCTGACAACCGTAAAACCGAAATTTGGGGTGACAAGGAAAGGGACACAAAGGAGGATAAGAAGGACCTAGTTTGTGACCACTGTAAGAAGCCGAAGCACACCAGGGACACTTATTGGAAATTATATCCTCATTTAATGCCGACAAAGATCAGAAATAAAAGGGGAAATGCCAATGTGGCTATTACTACTAATGGTGCTTCCTTTTTCAGCATAAGAGCCACATCCCTAGACACTTTATTTGTTGCCTGGGCTGCTCTGACTCAGTTAGAAAGTGAACTTGGTACTTCAGCTCCGTTATCTCAGTCACTGATTACTTCTGCTACTCCTACTTCGGCATTTGCTCATTCAGGTATACGAGCATCAGCATATCATGTTTCAGGCCCAAGTAATAATGGACCTTGTTGGGTCATAGATTCAGGTGCATCTAACCACATAACAGGCTTACCTTCTTTGTTTACTACTTTTTCTTATCCTCTGGCAGAGAGAGTATCCATTATTGATGGATCTCTTGTTCCCATCTCTGGGAAGGGAAACATGAGATTATCGGATGCCATCTCCTTATCCTTAGTTTTGCATATTCCTAAACTTAGTACTAACATATTGTTAGTAAGTAGCATCACTAAAAATCAAAACTGTTCAGTGACTTTTTTCTTTGATTGATGTGTTTTTCTGGATCTGGAGACAATGAAGGTGATTGGGACTGGCCACGAGACGAATGGAATCTAACTGATTAGAGGGTGTCTACATAGGGAAGATAAAGAAGTTGGATGGTCTTTTGTTTCTTAGTTTGTGAGTTAGATTATGCTTTGGCATAATTGGTTGGGTTATTTGTCTTTTAAGTCTTTAAGGAGTTTGTTTCCTAGTTTGTTTGAGTTAGTCCAGATGTCTAGTTTAAAATGTGAAAGTTATGAACTTGCAAAGCGTTGTAGAACAACCTATTCTTTGAGCAATAAAATAAGTACTATTCCTTTTGAAATTGTGCATATTGATGTTTGGGGACCATATCATGTCACTACTAGGGGGGTACTGATACTTTCTATTGTTTGTTGATGACTACATTCGTTTTTCATGGATTTATCTTGTGCACTCTCGAGATGAGGTCCCTACTCTGACTCGAAACTTCCATCAAATGGTCTTAATCCAGTTCGGAGTCAAAATCAAGGTTTTTTGATCAGATAATGCCCAAGAGTATTTTGCAAAACCCTTGATCTCATATTTCCTTAACCATGGGGTTATTCATTAGAGCACTTGTCCTCGTACACCTTAGCAAAATGAAGTTGCTGAGAGAAAGAATATGCATATATTGAAGGTAGCTAGAAGCATTGTGCCAAACTCCAATGTTCCTATACGTTTATGGGGGGATGCTATCCATACAACCGTGTACCTCATCAATAGGGTTCCTTCTCGGGTCTTAGACATGAAAATTCCATTCAGCCTCTTATATCCCGATAAAGACTTGTTCACTATTCCCCTTAAAACCTTTGCATGTACTTGTTTTGTTTAGATTATTGGACCTCATTGTTCTACGTTTGACCTTAAAGCTTCCAAATGCATATTTCTTGGGTATACATAAAATCAAAAGGGATATTGCTACTATAAACCTAGTTCTGGGAAACGGTTTGTTTCTATGGATGCGACTTTCTTTGAGAATGTTCCCTACTATCATAGAGTTTCTTCTGAGGGGGAGAGTAGTAAGATGGGTTTACCCACATCATAAATTCCTTTACCTGTCCCAATCACTGAAGGGGAGTGTAATGAGTAGGGTTGTCAAAAGTGTAGTGAGTTGAGGGTGTTTCATAGGCGATGGAGACAGGTTAATTTCAGTCCTCAGTAGTCCAGGCCAGCTCTAGCTTCCTCTGCGGCTCCAGATCTAGGTACCAAAGCTCCCTCACATCCCACTACAGATGAGATACCTCTCATCACTGATCCTAATGAGATGCCTCCCATTACTGAGCCTTCACCTCTTTTGGATGATCTGGATCTTCCAATTGCTATCCGGAAAGGGAAACACCGTTGCACTTCATCTACAACATATTGTATTTCTCAGTATCTGACTTATGACCATTTGTCTCCATCCTATAAGTCCTTTTTGGCATCTATGTCTGCCACTCCCATTCCTATAACAGTGTAAGAAGCCTTGTCAATACCATAGTGGAAGGATGCCATGAAGGTAGAAATGGATGCTCTTCTCAAAAATAATACATGGTAATTGGTTGATTAGCTAAAAGGGAAGAAATCGATTGGGTGTAGATGGGTGTTTGCAGTAAAACATAATGTTGATGGTTCTATTGAGAGGTATAAAGCCAGATTAGTTGCAAAAGGGTTTACACAGACTTATGGCATAGACTACTTGGAGACTTTTGCAGCAATATCCAAGATGAACACTATCAGAGTGTTATTATCGATTGCAGCAAATTTCTCATGGCCATTGTTACAAATGGATGTTAAAAATGCCTTCCTCAATGGTGATCTGCAAGAAGATTTACTAGTTAAATAAAGCCTTATATGGACTGAAACAGTCACCAAGAGCATGGTTTGATAGGTTTAGACTAGCTGTTGGAAAATTCATCTATGCCCAAGCCCAATCAGATCACACTCTTTTCATTAAGAAGACAGGCTCCTCCTTGACTATACTTGTTGTCTATGTGGACGATATTGTGGTGACAAGGAGTGATACCCATGAGATTGACTCTCTTAAACAACTGCTTCACAAAGAATTTATAGTCAAAGACTTGGGAGAACTACGTTATTTCTTGGGTATTGAAGTAGCTCGGTCCAAACATGGAATTTTTGTCTCTCAAAGGAAGCATGTTCTTGATCTTCAGGAGGAAACTGGAAAGCTAGGTGTTAAACCAACTTGAAGGTGGGGAGCCCCTTGAAGGCAAGGCTATGTTTTAGAGGTTGGTAGGGAAATTGATTTATCTATGCCTCACCCGACTAGACATTTCTTATGCAGTCAATGCAGTTAGCCAGTACATGCATTCTCCCACAACCACTCATCTTATTGTAGTCGAGAAGATCCTTGCTTACCTTAAGAGATGTCCAGGCAGAGGCATACTCTTCAAAAATAATGGTCACATGAAGATAGAAGTCTACACAAATGCTGATTGGGCGGGTGTGTTGATGACATGAGGTATACTTCTGGGTATTGTGCCTTTGTCGGAGGCAACCTTGTCTCTTGGAGGAGTAAGAAACAAAATGTTGTTGCACGTTCCGGTGCTGAAGTAGAATACCGATCTATGGCACATGGTGTGGCCGAAGTATTATGATTGAGGTCCTTGTTTGAGGAACTGGGAATTGCTTATGAGAAACCCTTGATGCTATATTGTGATAATCGGGCTGCTATTAACATTGCCCACAATCTACTACAACATGACAAAAATAAACATATTGAGGTGGATCAACACTTTATTAGAGAGAAAGTTGCCTCTCAAGAAGTGTGTCTTCCATATATTGTCTCCGATATGTAGCTTGCTGATCTCTTCACCAAGGTAGTTACAAAAGCTAAGTTGGAAACAGATTTATGCAAACTGGGAATGATAAATATCTATTCCCATCTTGAGGGGGAGTGTAGAGATGTAGAGCAATAGCTAGTGCTGTTATTTTATTTATTGTGGTCCCTACTACTGCGGTTAGTTAGTTCTTTTTATATTTGTCATTAGGCTACTGTTAGTAATGTTGTTAGGCTGCTAGTAGCAATGTTAGTTTATTAGTTATTTGCTTATGTAAGCAATATGGGCTTTAATGTAATTGCCATCTTATTTTTTATGTTATTATAAATAGATGAGTGCGGCGACAGCTAAAGGCTTATCACTCCTTTCTCTCATCTTTCTCTTCTCTTCTCTAGTATTTTTTTTCTTCTTAATCTACATCAAGAATTGGACTGATTACAGTCCGAATTTGTCTAGTATTTTTATTTTATATATATAATAATAACTAATTTTTATAAGTCAAATACAAAATAATTTTTTTATATGTATATTTTTTTTATAAAACATTTGGCTCACAGTCAAGCTCGATTCGAGCTCAAACTTACGAGTTTTTGACTCGAGCCAAATTGAAGCTCAAGTCTCTAGCTCGAATCGAGCTCGAGATTGAGCCTAATAGTTTATTGGCGAGCCGAGCTCGAATAGCAAATATTCGGCTTGACTCGACTTGAATCCACACCTAGTCTTAAATAAAATAAATAAATCATTTTTTTAGTAAGGGTTTTAAAACAAGACTCCCATAAAACTAAATATAAGCATAAAAGTTAACGAAGTAGAGAACTAATTCTTAATTGAATTTATTATAATCATAGTTTGTAAATTTGACCTGTATAAGTCCAAAAATAAAGTAGAAAAATAAAGAAAGATGGATGAATATGAAGAGAGAAGAAGAAGAAGCCAAGAAAGGAAGATAAGGGAAGAAAGAAGAGAGTCAACCGAGCCTCTCTCCTGTCCTCTATAATGATCTTTTATTATTTCTAATTGTAATGTAAATACAATTACATGAATTCCCTTAGTAGGGTGGCCAACACTAAAAACAATAAGAATAAAAGAAAGAAGGAGCATGACTAAGGCCCACTAATCACAAATGGGTTGTGAGCTATGCTAATTGCAGCCTGGTTATCACAGGCTTCATAGTACAACATCAAGGGCTTATCATATGAATGCCTTTGTAACTGACTTGGGTATAGGCTGAAAGGAATAGAGGCTAGGAAGGAATAATATGAGGGTGATGACGAGTTATGAGAAAGGTGTTTGGAGATACGGTGTACTGTACATTTTCTCTTGCCTTTTCTTGCGCGATAGGTAAGTCTAGGTTTGGGAGGGAAGGTGTTAAAGCAGGTGGTAAAGGATTTATCCTCTCTTTAGGAGTTGAGAGTGCTTGAGGCTTAACTATAGATAGGGAACAACTTGTTCATGCCTTATCCTTTGTCTTTGGTACCACTTTCGAACAATAGGATGAGTAGTGAAAATTGGAGGGGGAAGAGGAGAAGGAGGAGGAGGAGGAGGAGGAGAAGGAGCAGGAATGGGATGATTGGGACATGAAGAAGACTCTATCAATAGGACAGAAGAAGCTGCAGATGTTGGTTGGCCGGAGATGGCAGAGGCAGTGGTGAAGCATACAACTCAATAGAATGCTCTCCCTTAGGAGAATGACCATAAAAAGAAGTGGCGTAGCAAATGTGACATCTATAGAAACAAAATGTGTGCTAGTAGTGGGATCAAAACAACAATAACCCTTTTGTGTCATTGTGTGGAGGCATAACCTAAGAAAATACACTTTCGAGCCTTGGGTTCAAATTATGTCTCTGAGAGCTGGGAATATAGACATAACAAGTGCAACCAAAAATACACAAAGGAATAGGAAATGCATCACCCTTAGGGAACCGAACAACAAAGTGGGATTTGAACCCCAAGACTTGAGAAGATATGCAATTAATAAGATAAGTAGCTGTCATGACTATGTCACCCCAAAATCTCATTGGAACATGGGGGGCAAAAAGGATACTGCTCCATTTTGATGCGGGAGTACGATGCACAACTCCAAATCTCTAATGTTGTTTGATTGAAACAACAACACTAAATCTCTAGAGTTGTTTGGGATTTGAACCCCAAAGACATGCGGTTTTTCTCAGCCACGCCATTTTGTACTGGAGTATGATGCACAACCCCAAATCTCTAAAATATGAATTAAGGTCCTTCTCAAAATATTCTCTAGTGTTGTTTGATTGGAACATTTTGATGCGGGTATTGACCTAAGGAAGCACAAATTCATGGAATTTCTTCACAAGTGTAGGTACTTCAGCACGAGATAACATAAGGTAAAGTTAGGTATAACAAGAAAAGTCATCAATAAACAAAACAATGTATTTATAACCACCCATGCAAGGTAAATGGTATAGCCCCTGCACATCAGAGTGAACAATATGAAAATGAACCGTAGATCTTTTATTGCTTGTAGGATAAGAATTACTACAATGCTTTGACAACTCACATGACTCATAATGTAGACTTGACAACTTAGTCTCTTTAATCAAAGCTAGAAACAAAAGACTTAATGAAGAAAAAGAAAGATGACACAAACAATAATGACATAACATAATACGATTGACTGACTCTGACACATTTGAACCAAAAGCTGATCTCTAAGGTGATACTTGACTTTGTTCAAGCATATCCGTTAGGTATATCTCATTCGCTTCATGGGCACTCTCAATCACCTTCCAAGATTTCATGTCTTGAAAAACACAGTAAGAAGGGAAAAAGGTTACACCGCAGTTCAAGGATTTTGTCAAATTACTAATTGAAAGCAAGTTAGTGTTAAGCTTAGGAATATGAAGAACTGAAGATAAGGTGAGAGTATTTGAGGCTTTGATGTTTTCCTTGCCAACGATAGGAGCAAGAGAGATCTTGTTTCGGCTAAATAAAAGCTGCTAAGTAGAAAATAAATGAGACACACTAGTTATATGGTTAAAGGCAGCAAAATCAATTATCCAAGGGATCCTACGATTACTTAAGATAGAAGCATGATTCATAGTGGCATAAATACTTGAATGAGCATAAGCAGAAGATGAACCATTTCATGAGGAAGTAGTAGTAGATTCTAAGTGATTGATGAGTTAACCATACTTCTCATACTCTGCTCTTGAGCTGCAAACTGTTTCCCCCACTAATTTCTCATCATTGAATCTTTCCGAACTTCAAAAGAGGTGGCTACATTGGCTTTGCCACCTTTCCCACTCCCATTCTTCTTACCATTATTATTGTTCTTGAATCTAGGAGGTATAAGCTTTGGATGTAGCTTCCAGCAGGTATCCTTCATGTGCTTAGGTTTTTTGCAATACTCATACACTACATCTTTCTTCTCAGTGGTAGCCCTTGGTTTTATTCCAACATCGGCAAAGTGATTAGTTGAGACTTCTACAATCTGTACACGTCTCCTACTTTCCTTACTACTAACCGTGGCTTAAGCTTGGGATAAGGTCACTTCATCCTTTGCTAGAATGTTTTGTTTGACAATATCATACTTAGGGTTGAGTCTACTAAGAATCTCAAAAAATCGATTCTTCTCCACTAACTTCCTACGAGTCTCAACATCCTTAGTACATCCCCACACAACAGTCTCCGTTAGGTTAATCTCTTGCTAGAGAGATTTCAGCTTAGAGAAGTAAACAACTAGAGGCTTCTCTCCTTGTTTTAGATTATTCACATCATTTTTTAGCTTGTAAGCCCTAGCAACATTCAACTTCTGGGAATAAGTCTCTATGACACTATGATATCCCGCACCTCCTTTGTAGTATCCATCCACAAATATAGATAATGCTGGATGATATGAGGCTGCATGGAATTTACTAACCATCCTACAATTGTATAGTTTTCCTGCATCCACCTTTCATAGGTAGGGTCATCCTCCTTAGGTTGCTTCTTGCTCCTAGTGATGCACCTCCATTTTCCTCTACTACAGACATGGATCTTAATTGATTGAATCATAAGATTTATGAATCAAATCATGAGATTTTTAGAGAAAAGGATTCAAACATAAGATTCAAGTTGAAACCCTTGGGATTTATGATTCAAATCGTGAATTGTACTGTTAAGATTTTGACAATATTGAGGGTGACATAAAAAACGTAAATTTATAATTGTTTCCTATTGTAAAATGGTCAACAGAAGATATAAATTGAGATTCTTTGCTATCTTTTGCATCTACTTGTTTTGTGTTAAAAGTATAAATTATAGTTCTAGAAGATAGGTTGTTATTGTTGTGGTATAATTCTTATATGTTCACATTGCAGATTGATATGCTACAGGAAGAAAATGAGAGTATACTTGAAAAGGTATAGCTCCAGCACATATCTTTCTTCATTTGCTAACTTAAAAATTCCAAACTTTGTTTCACATGTATCACATATATGTCATTTGAGAAATGATATAATGCTTAAGAGCAGAGCAAACCAGTTTGGTATCCCATCTATTACCGGTTATAGATCTCAATTAACATAAGGTAGTACCAACATGTTTAATAGCAAATCATAGCTTTCCAGTTGAGCAACTTATGTTTCTGCTATTTCTTCCAAAAAAAACATATGTTTCTGTTGTTGCATTACACTTGATATTAAAATATGCCACTTGCAGCTCCGACTTGCAATGGAAAGGTATGAGGAAGCAGAGGCTAGAGCTAGACTGCTTGAGAAACAGGTAACATTTTTCATTGCTCAAACAACTGAAAGGCTTAGAATCCAAAAAAGAAAAAAAGACATGAAGTGTTGATGAAGCCATATAGATACATAATGTCTACTTATTATGTGTATTTATTAAATATGAGGACTATGTCCAATTTGTCCATTAACATTTTGACCTTATTTCTTATTCTACTACAGCATATGCTTTTCTCCTCTAGGCGTGCACCCAACTTTAAAGTATCTTTTCTTTGATTAGTAATGAGGAACATTTTTTAATAAAAAAAACTAAAGGGGTACAATAGACACACCTTTTAGATGGAGGCAAGGGTACAAAATAGAATCAAAAGAGGTGAATGAATAATATCATAAAAGCACCAAAAAAAGGTGGGTAGAAGAATGAAACTCACCACCCAAAGAATGCTAATCTCAGGATCTCTTTTTGATAATAAAAGAAAAAAATGAAAATTTATTCATCATAAAAGAGAAATATTACAAAACATAATCTATAGGTGATGAGATATCACCCAAAATAGAAATAAAACAACATATAAAAAAAAAAAAACATCACCAGTTCCCCACTATTAGCTTTCCTCATAAAATGATTTGGTGCTCCACTCCCCCAGGAGTCTTTTTTTTTTTGTGTGTGTGTGCATGTGGGAGGCCAGCTTGGGGAAAATATACACATGTTATTGCATCCAAAGGAGGAATATTGGCAGATTATACATTTCTCATCATGTCTGTATCTTGTGCCTCCGGGATGGAGAGTGAGCTGAGCACCTCATTCTTCATTGCCCAGAAACAAGAAGGATTTGGCATCATTTTCTTATTCTAGTTGGTTTCAGTTGGGTGACCCCTGAGCATATTATTGACTTCATCTAGCAGTGGCATGGAAGACACCTTGACAGGAGAAGGAAAACTTATTGGCATACTGTGGTTCATGTGGGGTGTGTGGGAGGAGAGAAATAAACACATATTTGATAATAAGGCTAGATCCTATGAAGATCTGATTACCCATATCACTCACATGTGCAATTCTTGGGTTTCAACCTCTACTGATTTTTTACTTGTCATTGAGAAATCTTTGAAGCAACCTGTTTGGGATTTTATCCTCTTCCCCAAAGACCCTAGTCTTCCCTTGGGTTCTCCTAGTGAGAGAAGAGATGGGGATGAGATAAAATTTTGATGGAAGCTCCTTAGGTAACATAGTGAAGCAGGCATAGGTGGTGCAATTTGGGGGAAGGACAAAGTTGAAAAAGTGTGAGAGGAAGAGAAAAAAAGAAGGAAGGAAGAAGAAGAAAGGTTACGGGGGAAGAGGGTGTGTTACTGCTCACACCTAAAACATTTCATTTTATACTGACAATATTTACATTTATGTTCCTATATGGGCACCCAAAATACAAATAAAATAAAATGACAACAATGCCCCTAAGCCAAATACATATTCTCAACATTCCCCCTCAAGCTAAGCGTAGATATTTATCATACCCAACTTGCTTAGATTTCTGTAAAATAAAATCAACAATTTGGTCTTCTGACTTTTCTCTTATGAAGTGTTTGTCAACCTCATTATGCTTTGTGTGATCAATGATCATGTTGAACAGGGCTATGAGCAATGTTTATAACAGCTTGATTATCACAGTATAATCCCATTGGGGCTTTAGCTTGGATCCCAATCTCTAATAACAAGTTCTTCAACCATAGCAATTCTGGTACACCATGAGCTATGGTTCCATATTCAGCTTCAGCACTAGATCGGGCGACAAGGTGAATCTTCTATCATCACAAAACCTGCCCAATCAGCATTGGTATAAGCCTTGACCTTAAGATGTCCTTGGTTGGAGTACAAAATTCCTTCTGGACACCCCTTTAGGTAGGCAAGAGTCCTATTGACAGCTTGCATATGTAAAGTTCTGGGACTGTGCATATATTGACTCACCATGCTTACAACATAGGATATATTAGGTCAAGTCAGGCGTAGGTAAAGAAGCCGATCAACAAGTCTCTGATAAACACCATTGTCTAGAAGAATATTTCTATCATCAACACTTAACTCATGATTGGGGTCAATAGGAGTTTCAATTGGTTTGCACCCTGGTTTACCAACCTCATGAAAGAGATCAAGGACATACTTCCTCTATGAAATGAATATCCCTCCCTTTGGCCTTGCCACTTTGATTCTAAGAAAGTATCTGAGATTCCCAAGATATTCGATAGGCTGATTATTCAAGGGGATTCAAAAATAGTTGTGGGTTGGTTGAAAAGGGGGGAAGAAGTAATTTGGAAGCTAAAGAATGAGCTTGGGCGCTTCAAGAAGATATCTAAAGACATGATGATCCAAATAAAGTGGATTAGGAGATATGCAAACAAAATGGCTGATGGTTTAGCTAATCAAGGAATTCCGAGACAATCCATGTTCTAGGTTGTTTTGTAGATAGTGGGATAGTTTTTCCTTGGGCTTCTTGTTTTTGCCCACAACTTCTTGTTGTATATGTTCCTTTTAATCTAATGAATCAATTCTTGTGTTGCTGATTAAAAAAAAAAAAAAGATCTTTGATCTCAAATCAAGAAATGAGTTTAGTTGGTTTATCCCAGAGTGATTATCTCAGTGATAACAATATCATCAATATACATTATCAATAAAGTTACTAGGCCATTAACCCTTCTTGTGAACAAAGTATGGTATGCCTATGATTGTGTGAACCTAATTCTAAGAACAACTTTCTTGGATTTATCAAACCAAGATCTAGGTGATTGTTTAAGCCCATAAAGAGATCTTTTTAGATGGCAAACCTTCCCCTCGCTGTTAGGGAAACTTACCCTGGGGGGGTAGATCCATATATACACATCCTCTTGAAATTCTCTATTTAGGAAAACCTTCTTCACATCCATCTGGTATAGAGATCATGAATAATGAGTAGCAAGAGTTGATAATGTAAGAAACAGAGAGGGATGGGAGAGAAGATTGGTTCTGAAAGCAGAAAGGGATGTCTCAGATTGGGGTATTATGTTGTGTGGATTAAAGAAAAAACTATTGGTAAGTTCAGGAGTTTTACAATCTTCCCCCTTGACAGAAGACATGCCATCCTGGTAGTCGAAGGAAAAACAATAGATTTCGATAGCTTCGAGACTGAGTTGGGAGTTATCTGGGTGCAAAGGTGGTCTGTTTCATGCAATGGCAAGAAGCTCCACAACGGGGTCTTTATTATCAGGTTGTTTGGGCTTCCTTTCAATCTTTGGGAGACGACAAGATTGGAGAAGGTTGCGAAGGCGATTGGAGGTGTCTTCATCGCTTGTGACATCTCAAAGCTCTGCTTTGCATCGGTTATGGTTGCTGGAGTGAAGCTGGAGGAAGTTCCTCGAGCACTTGAAGTTTTCTTGAATGGGATTTGGACGAATGTGTGGGTTGCGACGGAACACGAAGTGGCGCTATTGGGGGAAGGTTGAGAGGTGGACTGGAAGATGAAGCTGACGTGGCTGGACAGAGATCACGTGGAAGCAAAGAATTGGAAGAAGGTTTGTTGGCAGAAGTTTCCATCTTGGACGAAAAAAGGTCAGGGATGAAAAGGGATTTTAACTGCTTTTTGGAAAAAGCAAATAATTTATTTGGCCTTGGAGGGGTGGAGAGTATGCTCGAGATGTGAAAGGTCATAGAAAATTTGAATCCAATTGTTAGAGTAGATCCAAATGGCTTAGGAGATAAGGTTGATGACGAGAGCGGGTTGGGTATCAGGCGCATTGGCTCCGAACTAGGTGGAACTCAGAGGGAGATTAGCAACTCATCGGATTTTCCCAACAAATTTGCTTATAAAGGGGATGCTCGAGAGGTTAAGGATTTTAAAAGCATTGAGCTCAACGGCACTCTCTCGACTGTAGTTCAGGGACCATGCCTGAATGACTCTTCTCACTCTTTAGGCAGGTCGGGAGATGATCAAATCTTCAAAGCTACCTTACGCAAGGGCAAGAAGGAAAACCGCTTCAGGAATAGGATTGTTGGTTTGAGACGGTCCTTAGGGCCTATCAAGCCAATGCTGAAAAGAAACATAGCAATAAAGAGGATTGCGGTGGAGGCTAGAAAAGGAAAGGAAAAAAGGTGGATTTGGTTAATAGATAGGTTTGGCAGAAGTGGAAAAAAAGAGAATTTTACGTGGCTCCAAAAAGTTGCTTGAAAACGATACATCTATTGGGTCTGGCAATGATGGTTAGACGTACTATGGTTTGTAGGGAGTCTGATGGGAGTTGTGTTTCCCCAGATTTAAGGGGATTAAGCAAGACACTACTTGAGTGTAGCGGTGATTCGGGAAGTCTTGTTTTGCTACAATTGGATAACATGATTTCCTTTGAATTAGGGAGGATGGAAGGGAGTGGAAAAGACTCCGGAAATAATAGGAAGCTCCGGTGTTGAGATGGAAACTGAGGGCGAGGTTGTGGGAAAGGAAATCTCTTGCGGTGATGAGTTCATTGGAGGACAGGTAGAAAGGTAAGTCGAAAAAGGTTTGGATGGAGAAGGTTGCATTATGAAGAGGTTGAGGTTGAAAGGATGGGTGTAGATTTGGGTCGAAGGGTTAACCATGAAGAGGAGGAAGAGCAGAATAATGGGATAATCAACAAGAAGCTGTGCAATTCGAGATCTCACGACATTGTTCATGTGACAAAGATCTTTTCAAGGCTAAAAATTGGCCTGGCAGGGACAAGACCTACAAAAAAATTTAAATGGGTATATAGAATAAAAAGATGGAGAGGCAAAGGAACTTCTGACATTGACCATAGGGGGTGACTGCGTCAGTTCAGGCACTGGATTATCCGGTCCAGATACCTTTATGTTGGAGAAACATCAAGAAGTCAAGAGGAGTGGTGATGGCTCTGATTCTACTGTGACCAACATAATGAAGAATTCTGACGTAGTTGTTGAAAATTTAGCAGTGAAGCTACAGAATCTTGTCGACAGAGAAGTTACGATCAGGAAAAGCTTGGGACTATTGTTCTTGGGCGGTGAAGGATTTGCTAGGAAAGCATTTG